ATGGGATGAGGCGCCGATGATGCACAAGTATTGCTTCGAAGCCTTAGATAGAAGTTTGCGGGACATCTTGAGATTCACTAATTCAAATAGTGCTGAAAAACCCTTTGGAGGGAAAACAGTGGTCTTCGGGGGAGACTTCAGACAAATCTTACCTGTCATTACAAAAGGTACTAGACAAGACATTGTGAATGCCACGATTAATTCTTCCTATATTTGGCATGAATGCTTGGTATTGCGTTTGACAAAGAACATGAGGTTGCAATCATTGACTGATGATCGTGAGTACGAAGATTTGCTTGAGTTTGCTAAGTGGATTGCGAGGCTAGGGGACGGGATTGCTGGGGAAGATAATGATGGTTTTGCAAATGTTCAGATTCCAAACGAGTTCTTGCTAGAGTGTGGCGGTGACCCCATTGCCACTATTGTCCAGAGCACCTACCCAAACTTTGAGAGTATTGTGAATGACCCGACTTACTTGCAAGAGCGTGCAATTTTAGCTCCAACCCTTGATGTTGTCGATGCAATTAATGAATATATGACTTCGATGAATGTTAATGAAGAGTCAAGGACATATCTAAGTTCAGATAGCATTTGCAAGTCAGACTCGAATGCTGATTTTCTGGCTGATTTGCACACTCCAGAGTTTCTAAACAAAATACGTGCATCTGGGGTTCCGAACCATGAGTTAACCCTAAAGGTTGGTACTCCAATAATGCTTTTAAGGAATATTGATCCTTCCATGGGGCTTTGCAATGGAACAAGGTTAATTGTTACACGACTTGGAAATCATATCTTAGGGGCAAAAATTATGGGCGGAAAATATGCCGGGCATGAAGTTGTCATTCCGAGGTTAAGCTTGACTCCTTCGGATTCAAGAATACCGTTCAAGTTTCAGAGAAGACAATTTCCGGTCATGACATCCTATGCGATGACAATAAATAAAAGTCAGGGACAATCTTTGTCTCATGTTGGACTTTTACTGAAAAAGTCGGTCTTCACGCATGGTCAGTTGTATGTTGCAGTGTCAAGGGTAACAAATCCTAAGGGTCTGAAAATATTAATCTGCGATGAAGATGGCCAATCAACTAATCATACCACCAATGTAGTTTATAAGGAAGTTTTTCGTAATGTGTAGATTGTGAAATCCTGTTAACGTTTACTGTTTCCTACTTATCCCAAAACATACTTACTGCCAATCTCTGAGTTTTCGCGTTCCGATCTTTAATTATAATTTAGTATTCGTGTTAAGAATATGACATTTTGCTTTCATTTCACACAATATATATCATTTACAAATTATGTCGTATCGCTATTACATTATAATATCCCGCGCATCGCGCGGGTGAAAATCTAGTAGTGTCAGTGACACTTTAGGTACTTGACTTTTAATTTTTCCAGTTTTGGTCCTCGAATATTGTGCTAGAAGACACTTTAGTCCTTAACTTCAAAGTTTTCCACATATAGTCCTATGAGTATTATTATTAAATTGACACTTTTAGTCCTTCCACTATGATTTTGACACAATAAGTGAAGGATTAAAAATGTCACTGATATAATTGTTGAAGGACCAAAAGTGTCACATTAATGAAAGTCGAAGGATTAAATATGCAAATTTTTAAAGACAGGTACCAAAAGTGTCTCTAACACAATAGTCGAGGACTAAAAGTGAAAAAAATTAAAGTGGAGTATCAAAATGTCAATGACATAATAGTCCGAGGACAAAAAATGGCAAAAACTCAATGGAGGAATTACATAATTACGATTGTAATAGAAATATAGCGTGATAATAATGATTAGGCTTACCAGACTAGTATAATAAATATTTATAATGAATAAAAGAGACTAAAATATACTCCGTATGAGATTTCCTATTAAATATATAAATCATAATTAATACAGACATAAAGTAAAAAGTTTCATGCACTACGTATCTTATTTTTGTGCTTTAGTTATGTTTAGCTCAACTTCATGTGGCCCAAGTTGTAAATGACTTCCTTTTAACAAATAAAATTAGTTTATTTTTAAATGTTTCATGTACTCATAAAATGTTATATTATGCATCTTCTAGGTCTATCGTTAACTTATTTTCTTGTCATTAATTACTTACTTATTTCTTAAAAGGGAAAAGGTGCAAATAAGTCCATGTACTAACCAAAAAAGGTCAAATAAGCCCTTATTTAGGAGGCTCTGTCTGGCCTTCACCATTTGGGGTGGTTCCCGGTAGAATTTTTTGATGAATTTTTTTGAACATCTTATTCATGAAGTCTAGTTTACGCATACCAATTTTCAGCTAAAAAAATTGGTATGCTGAAATTTGAATGCGCAGTTATCTTCAAGAATTCATTTGAATGCCTTCCCGATTGAAGTTTTAGCTGAAATTTGGTATGAGTAAACTAGACTTCATGAATACGATGCTAAAAAAAATTCATCAAAAAATTCCACCGGGAACCACCCCAAATAGTGACGTCCGGACAGAGCCTCTTAAATAAGGGCTTATTTGACTTTTTTTGGTTAGTACATGAGCCTATTTGCACCTTTTCCCTTTCTTAAAACTTTCTCTAGTTAATTAAAATGAATTAACACAAGTTAAAAAAGGATTTCTTTGAGAAATACTATTTTATTCGTGATTTAATTATATCTATTTAAATTATTTAGAAAATTGTGTAAAGTGATAGAAATGTTACATAATTATTAAACCTTATGTGAAAATTGATTATTGAGCCAAAATAAAAGTAATTGAGACCTTTGACTCATAAACATTGCAAATAATATATATATAAGAAAAATGACACACATGAGATATAAATAGTAGGAATATACAAATCATAGATGGTGTATTCATATGTGGAATCAGCCACATCTTTTCATTTTATCTTGAACTAGCTTAGCTTCCTCCACTACATTGATAACTGTCTTTAGAAATTACAAAATATGAAAAGGGACCGAGCAAGCTACCAACGTTCGAAATCTAGGGTTATGGATATTGTACTCTTTCATTATATCCAAGTCACATGCATATATCGATAGTCCTCAATCTCCTCATCATGTTGGCTTCGTATATTAAGCATTGTGCTAAAATGATCGATAGTTCCAATGGTGCAACAATTCCTACATCACAAAAATGTATGAATAAGATTTTTAGATGTCACTTAATAATTGACTATAGATAGCTTCATAGCTCACTTGACAATATATAAATCATTAGGAATATCATACTGGCCATAAGAAAGTTTGAATAATTGCCTATAAATATATTCAAATCATACTTGATCTCCATATTTTATTCAACCAATTAAATTAAATTAGTTTAAAATTGTGTAGCAACAACATACATGAATAAGAGAGTCAATAGATTGCCAAATAATTAAGAATGATTAAGAATGAAATTCATCGTCAAGTAACATTTTCAAAACTCCGCGAAGGTATATTCAAGAAAACTAGTCAATTGTATATTAGACAGTCCAATAGCTTTCTTAAATATACCTATACGATGTTTTGAAAATGTTACTTGACAATGAATTGCATTCTCAATAATTTATTTGAGAAGAATGCATTGACGGCTTCTACAAACACTATTAGCTGTGTTGTTGCTACGCGTTATCAAAACCAATATAACATATTTGATTGAATAGAATACAGAGATCCAGATTGATCTGGTGACAATTTGCATAGATCAATGATCACAGTATTTATAGCTAACTCAGTGTCACATATGTAATTGGTATGAATATGATTGTTTGGTATTGAATTAATACACCATTCAAATCAAACCCTTTTTTACATTTCTCCTTTAATGCTAAGAACATAATAATTGTTTACGTATACAAAATCTTTTTTATAGACCGATAAAATTTAAAACTTGTCAATTTTATATTTTGGCAAGCTCATTTTATATCACCACTGGTCAATCGGTATACTATGGGGTGACCCATGATGAGCATCGTACTATCACACCTAAAACAATGTCACTCAAATTAAAGTTTTAATTAAAAACTATATTCACCATTCCCATGCATGGAAAGGTAAGCCGCTTTACTACAAATGCAATACTAAGTAGCAGCACTTGTAAACTCTTAAACTTTGAGTCCAATGTAAACAGTAAAGGAATGTCACTCGTGTTTATTGTAAATGTATTTTGTTTTGTTTTCATCCTTGTAATATGCGTTATTTTACTTGTAGTCCATCTCTAATTCTGAAATCACTCTACCTATTAAAAAGTTATTGTTTTTTAGAAAGGAAAAGTTATTGTTGGTTGCATAAATTTACTAACAATTTTTAAATTTACCCTTTTATATTTTTTAGGGCTAATATTGAGAGTTAACATACTGTAAAATTAATTATTCATTTTTTTAAAAATATATACTTCGTATATTCAAAATCTCCTTCCCACTAAAATTATACAAAACCTTATGTAAAATCTATGAGTAGGTAGCGTGGACTATGGTTATTAAAAAATGATTTTATGTTTGTTGATATTGAATTTATAAAGTATGATCAAATAGGTTTAATTAGATATGGAGCCGGGTCGATTCGGGTAGCCGGGTAGGTCCGGTTCTAAAACATTGAAGCCCTGCACTTGGCTCCTTACCGGTGGCTGGAAAAACCGGCAAGTTTAACAAATCCTTTTCGGTGGCTGTTCAAACCGGACCTATTTCGAGTAGCACGAGCAGTCTAATTGTGGGACAAGTCTACATAGTTGCAAGGTTAGCGAACGTAATAACTTTTATATGACTTTTTGTTCTTTGTCTCATGCTAGTGGAGCATTGAACGTTGTGAAAAAATTAGTTTATTTGTATTATTTACCCCTTTCGTCCTAAAAAACTCTTCCCGATTTGACTTCATAGACATATTAAGAAAATAAGAGTAGAATGAAAATATATGCATGTGTAATTGAATAAGAAAATAAATAAATATTAGTCTCACAATGTTTTCTTTTTTTGGGACCGAGGTTATTAAACAAGAAAAAAGAATAAAGTTTGGCCCAGGCAAACAAAATTGTGGTCCAGTACTCCAGTGGTCATTGATAGACTGATACCCAAAGTCTGAACTCAACCCAACAAGGCAATCAGAAGAAACATTCGGCAAGGTCGGTTTCCGCCAAGGTCGCAGAGAAAGCGACGGCGCCCGCTCGCTTTCCGCCAGTCCACCGCTGACCGCTGCCTGCGTCTTCCCGCCTACTCGCCCAGCTGACCGGCTAACCGCGTCTTCTCTGTGTCTCTAGCAACTCGCCTGCGCGGCTTCGCCACTGCCAGTCGGCGGTCTCAGGATGTCAGGTCGGTTATCCCTACTGTCGTAGGTAAGTTTCGTATTTTTATTTTAATTCAAGTATTTTAAACTTTTAAATTTCTAATACATTCATCTAAATATCTAATGCGTAGTATATCTTTGAATGTTTTGTTCTACTAAAATACGATTCTCTATAGTGTGAATTTATTGTATGGTTTTTTGAACATGTGATGTAATTGTGTGATTTCATGTGTGGAATTGTAAATTTGTTAACTTATTAATACGAATTATGTGACTGAAAATAAAATGTTGATTATTTCGTTAAAATTTTTCAATTTCAGTAGGTATGACTACACGGTCTACTTCTCAAAAGGCAATATAACACTGCATTTTCTTTTTAACCCTATTACAAGTATAAAAATAGACAAGAGTTAAATGTCCAACTAACGTTTTAGTTTAATACGTTGTATAATGTACAGAGTATGTATGCTTCAAAATATTACTATAAATTTACTGCATTTTAATCAATATTTTCGAAAAGTTTTCTCGTTTACATTTCTTACATACTATGTACTCCCTCCGTCCCATTTTACCTGTCCTACTTTCCTTTTTGGGTTGTCCCAAAATAAGTGTCCACTTTCCTTTTTGGGAAAGAAATATGTGGCCTACACCAATTCACTTTATTATACTCAAACCTCAACCACAACTTTTACTTTTCCAACCATTTCATTAATAATCGTGCCAAATCAAACTAAGACACATAAAATGGGACGGAGGTAGTATATTTTTAGCTCATAACCCTCTCCCCCCGAACTTTCATCCTGGCTACGCCACCCCTGATCTTGTATTTTATTCATGTAATTAATATACAGGAGATTAAGAATCAGGAGAGTTCAGCATGGCACTGTCACTTTTTTTTTGCTTATTAAATTTTTCCACACTTTTGTTTCAGTTCTAGAATGACCACAATTTAAACATTCCTGGCTACGCCCCATATCATTGGATTTTACTTATGTAATTAACATACATGATAATTAACATACATGATATTAAGTATCAGGAGAATTCAGCAAGGCACTGTCATCTTTTTTTTTTTTTTTTTGTATCTTATCAAGTTTTTCAACACTTTTTTTTAGCTCCAAAATTATCACAATTTTACCAATTTATATATTCCGTATTCACAAGGACCAAGAAAATATTGCATAAAGAAGTGGCTAATTATAAAGAATATTTTCCCCATCTGCTAATTAACTGCCATGTCAATGGGGAACCTAAGCATCTATATAAATTACGGTTCACAACTGCAAATCATCGAAGCTTACGTTCTACGACAAATTTTTTTATGTGCTTATTAGTTATGTATTATTGAAAACTTTTTTTTTCCAAATTATATACTACGTTGTTTACAATAATATATTGATTGAACTATTAAATTTCGAATCCAAGACAAAATGTATTGAGTTGTAAATTTATACTCCGTATTATTTATCCATTTTTTTATAAGATGGGTGATCGGTCCCATTTTTACTACATCACCTAACCACCTCAGTTGTGTGACTCCGTCATGGAGTCAGATACAACTCGATTAGATTTCTAGTGAAGTCTCACTGGGATATAAACATATCAATCTCAGGAGAGTAGAGTTTACATCTTGTTTTTGAAATTATTAATATCTGCACTAAAATATAGACAAATTAGCTAATATAGGGTGTAATTTGTAATTCGGTAGAAGTTATAGATAAAAATATAGGTGCCAATATATAGATGAAAATGAGTTGCAAAATGCTAATACAAATTGTAACCATTGATTTTTTTGTTGAAGGGCGCATTCAGTGTCCAATGCTTTTGGGATTTGCAGAGCATTGATCTGGAAGCCAAAACTCTAAAGTTCGCCGGCAAACTCATAATCTCTGACTCCACTATTTCCCTTATAACAGCAATCTTTCAGTTTATTTATGAATCATGCTGCATCCTTTACACCAAGACATAAACACCTTTTCAAAACCATCCTTAACTACACTCACGAGAAGAATCTTCCCAAAGGTAAATGTCTTCATGGACATCTCATCAAAACCGGCTCAATCTCCTGCATCTATCTCTCCAACAGTGTTGTTAACTTCTACGCTAAGTGCAGTATATTGCGAGATGGTCATCTAGCATTCGACGACATTAGTAACAAAGATACTGTCTCATGGAACTGCCTCATCAATGGCTACTCTCGACTGGGTACCCAAGGTTCATCTCTTTCCGTGCTCAACTTGTTCAAGCAAATGAGGAACCAAAGCGCTGTTCCGAATTCCCATACCTTTTCCGGCATTTTCTCTTCTGCGTCGTATTTAGGAGACACATTTGTTGGTAAGCAAGCCCATTGCTTGGCGGTAAAGCTGAGTGTCTTGGGTGATGTGGTTGTGGGTAGCTCATTGATAAATATGTACTGTAAGTCTGGGGACATTGGTGATGCTCATAAGATGTTTGGCGAAATGCCTGAAAAAAATTCTGTGTCTTGGGCCACAATGATATCAGGGTATGCTTCACTAAGGCTCCCTGGTGAAGCTTTGGGTATTTTTATGATGATGTTGATTTCTGAGGAGGACATCAATGAGTTCGCCTTGACCAGTGTCCTTAGCTCTTTCACATTCCCTGAGTTTGTTGTTGCTGGCAAGCTAATCCATTCTATTTCAGTGAAAAATGGATTGATATCTATCGTCTCTGTTGCCAATGCTTTATTGACTATGTATGCAAAGTGTGGCAGCTTGGATGATGCATATAAAGCATTCAAATCCTCAAATATCAAAGAAGCTATCACCTGGTCTGCCATGGTCACTGGTTGTGCACAGAATGGGTATGGCGAGAGAGCGCTGGAGCTGTTTTCAGAAATGCATTTCTGTGGAGTGACTCCTACTGAGTACACTCTTGTGGGAGTTCTTAATGCATGTAGTGACGTTGAGGCAGCCATTGAAGGAAGACAGATCCATGGATACCTTTGGAAACTAGGATTTCAGTCTCAGATATATATTATGACTGCATTAGTTGACATGTATGCTAAGTGTGGGATGATCGGTGATGCTAAGAATGGCTTCGATTCTCTAGGGGAGCCAGACATTGTTTTAATGACTTCAATGATTGCAGGGTTTGTCCAAAATGGGGACAATGAGAGTGCTATTAATATGTATTGGCAGATGACAAAGAAGGATATATTACCAAACGAATTAACAATGTCAAGTGTGTTAAGAGCTTGTTCGACCCTAGCTTCTTTAGAGCAAGGAAAACAGTTACACACACATACCATTAAATATGGGCTTACTCTCACTGTTCTTGTTGGTAGTGCCCTTGCAACTATGTACACAAAGTGTGGGACCCTTAAAGACGGGAACCAAGTCTTCAAGATGATGCCAGACAGAGATGTTGCTTCTTGGAACTCCATGATTTCCGGCCTTTCCCAAAATGGGCACGGGATAGAAGCACTTGAACTTTTTGAGGAGATGCGTAAAACGGTTGTTGAAAAGCCAGATCATGTGACTTTTGTGAGTGTCTTGGCAGCTTGTAGCCATATGGGGTGTGTAGAGAAGGGACGGTATTACTTTCGAATGATGTCAGATGAGTTTGGTATTGAACCTAGAGTGGAACACTATGCTTGCATGGTTGACATCCTCGGTCGCGCCGGGAAATTACATGAAGCTAAAGAGTTTATATTGTCCTCTACAATTGACCACGGTCAGTGTTTGTGGCGTATATTACTTAGTGCATGTCGGAATTATAGAAACTACGACTTGGGAGCGTATGCCGGGGAAAAGTTGATGGAGTTGGGGTCATTGGAGTCATCCGCTTACATTTTGTTGTCGAGTATTTATTCAGCTCTTGGTAGGGGAGAGGATGTCGAGAGGGTTAGGCGTTTGATGAGTGTACGAGGTGTGAACAAGGAGCCAGGGTGTAGTTGGATTGAGTTGAAGACTCGGTTTCACGTTTTCGTTGTTGCCGATCAGACGCATCCAGAGATTACCTCGATCCGTGAGGAGGTTTGGAAGCTGAGCAAGTTGATGAAGGGTGAATATGCTGATGAGGAACTGGATTTGGAGCTTGGGTTGGTGGGTCTTTAGAGTTGATATTACATTGTGGGTTTTTCCAGTCAAGAAAGCTTAATGATTTTATCAAGTAGAGAGCTTGAGTGCACTCATAGACATGGGTCTTTTCAAGAGACAACTCAAAACATTCTCACTGTGGAAGAGGGACCAATGGGTTACAGATAAGCCTACGTCTTCATCAAGGTGAAATAATATTTAATCAAATATTATTTGTATTTGCTCAGCATTCTCAAAGTTTATTAGTTGGACATGATGCTCATTGGTTCAATTAGTATTAACTTGTTAAATATCTGTTGCTTACTTGCTGCTTGAAGGAAGGATCTACTCTTCTACGATTTGTTTGGTTGGAGATTTTTTGAAGAAGGGGATAATTGATTTTTGTTTCACAAATTTATCTTTCTTTGTTATTCATAGATTATAAAATATGCATACCTTTAGTTATATAATGTATTTCTGTATAAACTTTGTTAAATGAAATTTGCAGTGAGAACCAAGGTCAATGAGCTGAGGAATAAAAGCAAAACAGAGCTGCTTGCTCAGTTGAAGGATCTCAAGGTGGAGCTCGCCCTCCTCCGTATTTCTGTTAAAGTGGTGTTTGGAAAAAATATTGCATGCTGATTGCAGTAAAGAAACTGCTACGTAGTGTTTAGGACTTAAACTGGTGTTATACTTCAAGTCTAACTATTCAAATGAGCTTAAATTGACTACAACTGGATGCAGCAAGGGAGTAAGAGTGTCAATTGCACAAGTGTTGACTGTGATCTCACAGACACAGAAGAGTGTTCTAAGGGAAGCATACAAGATGAAGTATATGCCCCTTGACCTCTGCTTGAAGAACTAGAGCCATCCACAAGCGTCTTACCAAGCACCAGGTATTTATTCCTTAATACTTAAGCACCTTCATATTCATGAATTATAAGGGTTGGTAAGACGCATGTATAGTTACTATCTGTCTAAACTTTTGAAACCAGTTTAGACAGATACTATCTGTCTTACCAAGCACCAGGTATTTATTCCTTAATACTTAAGCACCTTCATACTTTTTAAAAGTGTTAAGGCACAGATATATGCAATTGAATGTTTGACATGCTTTCTTTGTTTCATTTATTAAAGGCCTCTTTGAAGACAGAGAGAGAAGAAGGAGCTTTACTTCCTACTACGGAAATGTGCCATTAAAGTGTAGGACACAATCTTTACTCTGTAGGTCCATGTACCTGTTCAGTGTGTAACTTTTGGCTTTGACTGAGTTTTATCTATTCGTTTTGTTTTTTTTTGGTGGGTAACATTGTTTGACTATTCTAGCTTTTTAATGTAGTGTTCCATTTTTATACACGTACTTCAATCTTCAAGATAAACTGAATTATTATGTCAAAGTACAAATTATCTGTTATAACATGCTGTTTAAGAGTAATTTGATGTCGTGTAGATTAATATAATTTTTGAAAAGTAATGGATCATAGTTAAGATGCTTTGATTAAAAAGCAAGATTATTTATATTGGATCATAATTAAGATGCTTTGATTATGGACAAGTTTATTTAAATTAAGTAAAAGTTTTGGTGCCATAGCTGTTTTATAATTCAAAATTGGCGATGCAATATAAAATAATGTTAAAAAAAATAGGCGATGCAATATATTGCTGAAGCATCTATGAGATAATTCTTCCTATAAATAATTTATTCATTAAATTTTTAATAGTTAAAGGTTACATATATAGAATATAATAAAATTTTGATATGCTAAGTACTCCGTAACTCCGTAAGTAACTAAAATGAACTATGTGGACTAACAAAAGTTATTTTGCAAGTCATTTTAGGAGAGTATATAAAAATTGCTCCGCCTGTATGGGTTGCTAATTTATGAAAAAAAATCCTGGTGTAAGGATGTTTTCTTTAGGACTGAAATTTGCTGGTCTTAGGCATGGACCCAGTTCGGGCCGCCCGGTCCGGGACCGGCCCGCCATTGTGCGGGTCCGGAACCGGCCCGGTTCTCGGGTCCAGGTCGGGCCTAGGCCCGGTGGGGGGGGGGGGGTCCGGGCTCGGGCCTTGTATTTGGCGAACCGGCCCGGCCGGGTCGGGCCCGAGCCGAATTGATTTTTTTTTTTTTTTTTTTTTTTTTGGAATTTTTTTGGGGTTAGCCGGGTTGGGCTTGATGGTTAGGAGGGGTTTGGGGGTTTGGGGGTTAGGAAAGAAAAATAAAAATAAAAATTATGACCGAACCGGAGGCCCGGCCCGGCCCGGACCGGACCCGGTGGCTACCCGGGCCGGTCCCGGGCCTTCCTTCCCAAAAAAAAGCCCGGCCCGACTCGGGTCCATGACTAGCTGGTCTGAACTGGTTTGGTCTGGTAAACGTCTGGTTTTTGTGTAGTTTATAACTACGGAAGTCTGATCTGGTCTGGGACTGAGAACAGTCCAAAAGAAAACATCCTAAGATGGCTTAAAATTTTAAAATTGGAGTATTGTGTGTTTTCCTTGGATAAGAGTAACTTGGTGCAATCATGATTGTTTAGATGTAACTCTTTCCATGTTGACGAAGTGGATATTTCATGAATATCCGATTTGTGTGTGCCGGAAATGTCGTCGGAGATGTTGATGTTAATTCCTCAGCACTCCATCAGTAGCTGCATTGAATGGTAGAGGTAAAAGGAAGGTTAAGCACTATCGTCTGGCTTAGGTGTTCTTGGGATTTAATCGTCTTCGGTATTTATGGAGTGTCACTCTTTGGTAATTGGTATGACTCTTTAGTCTCGGGGAAAAACTCTCATATGAATGGGTGATAAGGGGACAATATATGAGGGCTTCCTATCAATATAATCCGGATGCTTTCCCTTGGTTAGTCATGGACCCGGGCCGGGCCGGTTCCGGTTCCGGGCCGTGCCCGGCCGGGCTTTTTTTTGGGAAGGAAGGCCTGGGACTGGCCTGGGTAGCCACCGGGTCCGGTCCGGGTCCGGGCCTCCGGTTTGGTTTTTTTTTTTTTTTTTTTGCTTTCCTAACCCCTCACCCCCACCCCCACCCCAAACCCCCAAACCCCTCCTAACCATCAAGCCCAACCCGGGTGTATCCCAAAAAAATGAAAAAAATGAAAAAAAAAAATCAATTAGGCTCGGACCCGGGCCCGACCCGGTCGGGCCGGTTCGCCAAATACAAGGCCCGAGCCCGGACCCGCCCCCCCCACCGGGCCTAGGCCCGAACCGGACCCGGACCCAAAAACCGGGCCGGTCCAGCACAGTTGCGGGCCGGGCCGGGCGGCCCGAACCGGGTCCATGACTACCCTTGGTACTTTGACCTTAACATGGGTGAATAATTACAAAAGTGCCACTGCCTAACTTTATTTGATAAAATGTGTGGTTCTGGATTGTCTTTCCTTTTATGGAAATTATTAGTTGTGGACATATACTTTATGGGCATGATTTTAGAAAAGCGGGCCCACTTTATTTCAAAAATTACTTGTTAGTAATTCCCACAGTTCATTTAATATAAACGTCTCATCATAAAAAATCCTCATTATTTATGGAAGCTTTGTACCACAAAAGGATCCAAATATATTTGATTGAACAATATATCATTATTTGTTGATTTTGCGCTTGTAGGACTAACACGATGCTTCGTGTTGATGGTAAATATGGTTCAAGATGAAATTATTTGCGGGTGTACTTAGGGATGTGCATTAACCGGGTCGGACCGTATTTTAGACCTGAACCGGACCGGAATGGACCGGTCCGGGTTTCGGTCCTTAGTTTTGTAAGATTCCGGGTTCCGGTCCGGTCCGGGTCAAACACGGAAAAAACAGGTCCGGACCGGAATGAACCGGTAACCTATTTTCCCGTAAAATATATACTTGCTTTTGTATCATTAGTCATTATGTTTATGACTTATTTTTGTCTTTTATTATATAAACGAATATATACGGAGTTTATATTTGGTGTCTAATTATTTCCTAAGTTGTTATTTATTTATTTATGTGATTTTTCTGCTTTTTATTTGTTTCTTTATTTGCAGGTGCACATGTAGTTTATACGTAGTATATTTTTGGACTTAATTTAGTTTTTATTACTTTATAATAGATTTTGCATTTTAATATACACAAAAGATTGTAGTTTTAATTATTGTGGGAAACTAATTGTTATGATTGAATAGTGGTTTAAATATGGTTTTAGTCCCTGCAAATATGGCATACTTTGTTTTAGGTCCCTGCAAAATATTTTCTTTGTTTTTCATCCCTGTAATATGCACTGTTTTGGTTTTAGTCTATCTCTAACTCTGAAACAACTCGACTTTGAATTTTTTCTATTGTTGGTTGCATAAATCTATTAGAAACATTTAAATTTATCAGTTTATAATTTTTTTAGGTTAATAAGAGAGTCAAAACCATATCAAAACTAATTATTTGCATTTTCAAAATATGTATTAAAAACCCTCAAAAAATTAAAATTAAATACTTTTTGAATGACATGATAAAGAATTAAAGGATACCTTTTAGTCGGGATTGTTTCATTGTCAAGCGGAGGTTGTTATCATTAGTCATGGACTAAAAAGAAAATCAACATAAATGTCAGGGATGAAAAACAAAGAAAATATTTTGCGGGGACCTAAAACAAAGTGTGCTATATTTGCGGGGACTAAAAACATATTTAATCCTTGAATAGTTTTGATAACTATATTCCAAAATTAATAAATGAGCTAGATAAACAATTATTTAGTCTATTTAGCATATCCGCACATAAAATTATAATTTAGAACAACAACATCCAAGCCTTATTCCTAAAAAAATTTGGGACCAACTAAGAACACTCTAAGATAATATTTATTTTTTAAAACCGGGTCAATTAGGGTCAAAACCGGACCGGACCGGAAAATTCAGGTCCGGACCGGTCCGGACTGGTTAGATTCAGGTCCGGTCTTCGGTCCAAAGAAAATGATGATTCCGGTTCCGGTCCTAACCGGTTCCGGTCCGGTCCGGTCCGTTTTTGGACCGGTGCACACCCCTAGGTGTACTGGAGTTAAATTAGTATTGCAAGTCGTAGTAGAGTATTGTCCTAAAACATTGTCCGTTTCATCGTAAGGATGCAATCGGGTCATGTGGCGAGCATTGGGGATTTGGGGAGAAAATGGGAGCCTCCATACCCATCCGGGCAGAGTGACACGGGATAATTTTCTAATGCCCTCTCGGGGTGTTCTTAATAATGAACCGCCCAAGCCATCAATTACTTTGCGCAGTCTCAGCATAAACGGTTCTTTTGATGTTAAGAGGATGAAGCATAAATAAGATATGTCAGATGCCGATGATCCATCAACAGTGGTTGTGGTTTAATATTGTTTATTATATATCTTACTAATCATACATATTTATAAATTCATAATTCAACAGATTTAATCAATTTCAATATTTCTTAATTAATGAGATCTAGATAGCTTACTATGAGATATAAATTCATAATTCAACAGTTTGTTTTAAATATCTTACTATGAGATATAAATTCATGATTCAACAGTTTGTTTTTAATAGCTTACTATGGCTGGACGGTTGATGCTTTCTAAACATGCAACTGTTTCCTTACAAATACATCTTAAATAATGACTATATATCCCTCTACCACATGCTTTACTGTTTATTTTGCAATTAAGTTTGAGGACTTCTATTATGGGATTAGGACATTTTAAATTAACTACAAATCTAGAAACATGTCACAAAATTCTAGCCTTCGAGCCTTAATTAGCTTATTAGATTGGCACTATATTTTCCTTGCACGTGCTATATATAAGTTCACACTTTCTACTCTCTTCCTAAGTAGTACTCCCTCCGTCCCGCTATGATTGTCCCGTTTTACCTTTTCGGTCCGTCCCACTAAGATTGTCTCATACCTTATTTGGTAAAGTTTGTGTGGTTCTAAATCATTACTACTTTATTCTTACTTTATCAATTCAATACAAACCACATAAATCCACTTTTATTAATAACCGTGCCACCTTCTCTTGTCCCAAACTTAGGGGGACGGGGGTAGTAGTAATATAAAGATCACTCCATTAGGCTTTGACGCAATATTTAAGAGGGAAATACTAGGGTTAATGATTAGCATAGTAAAAGTATGAGAAACCAAAAAGTAAGGGTAATTGCATATTTTTAATGTAAAAATGACCAAAAAAGAAAATGCAGCACTCTTTTAAATATATCATAAATAGGAAACTGTAACAAACTTTAAAATACTAGGTTATGAGATACTAGGGCTGTAGACTGCAGTGAACTGAAGCTCTAAATAACCTATTTTTCCTTAAGCATAGTCCAATTAGGATGTTTTCTTTTGGACTGTTTTCAGTCCCAGACCAGACCAGACCAGACAAGACTTAACTTCCGTAGTTATAAAAGACACAGAGACC